ATGGGTCATCCCACCATAACACTTAGTATGCAGCAATCGAAACACAAGTAGTTTTCAGCCTGATCAACTAAACTGGAATTAAAATAAATGCAACAGGTCTTTAATTATACTGAATAAATGCAAGAACAGTGTCAAATGGTGAATATCTATTCTATGACAAATAGGCAATTTATATAATTTTTGGATTGTTTCCAATATGTTTTTCCCTCATATTAATACAGTACCAAAACATTTCACTTGAAAATGACAATTGCTGCATAACAGTGTTCCTGTGTCAAATGGGACATTTGTCCAGGGCGGCAAGGGATGGGTCATCCCACCATAACAATTAGTATGCAGCAATCGAAACACAAGTAGTTTTCAGCCTGATCAACTAAGCTGGAATTAAAATAAATGCAACAGGTCTTTAATTATACTGAATAAATGCAGGAACAGTGTCAAATGGTGAATATCTATTCTATGACAACTAGGCAATTTATATCATTTTTGGATTGTTTTCAATATGTTTTTCCCTCGAGCTCATATTAATAGAGTACCAAAACATTTCACTTGAAAATGACAACTGCTCATAACAGTGTTCCTGTGTCAAATGGGACATTTGTCCAGGGCGGCAAGGGATGGGTCATCCCACCATAACACTTAGTATGCAGCAATCGAAACACAAGTAGTTTTCAGACTGATCAACTAAACTGGAATAAAAATAAATGCAACAGGTCTTGTATATACTGAATAATTGCAAGAACAGTGTCAAATGGTGAATATCTATTCTATGACAAATAGGCAATTTATATAATTTTTGGATTGTTTTCAATATGTTTTTCCCTCATATTAATAGAGTACCAAATTATTTCACTTGAAAATGACAATTGCTGCATAACAGTGTTCCTGTGTCAAATGGGACATTTGTCCAGGGCGGCAAGGGATGGGACATCCCACCATAACACTTAGAATGCAGCAGTCGAAACACAAGTAGTTTTCAGCCTGATCAACTAAACTGGAATTAAAATAAATGCAACAGGTCTTGTATATACTGAATAATTGCAAGAACAATGTCAAATGGTGAATATCTATTCTATGACAACTAGGCAATTTATATAATTTTTGGATTGTTTTCAATATGTTTTTCCCTCATATTAATTGAGTACCAAAACATTTCACTTGAAAATGACAATTGCTGCATAACAGTGTTCCTGTGTCAAATGGGACATTTGTCCAGGGCGGCAAGGGATGGGTCATCCCACCATAACACTTAGTATGCAGCAATCAAAACACAAGTAGTTTTCAGCCTGATCAACTAAACCGGAATTAAAATAAATGCAACAGATCTTTAATTATACTGAATAAATGCAGGAACAGTATCAAATGGTGAATATCTATTCTATGACAACTAGGCAATTTATATCATTTTTGGATTGTTTTCAATATGTTTTTCCCTCATATTAGTAGAGTACCAAAACATTTCACTTGAAAATGACAATTGCTCATAACAGTGTTCCTGTGTCAAATGGGACATTTGTCCAGGGCGGCAAGGGATGGTTCATCCCACCATAACACTTAGTATGCAGCAATCGAAACACAAGTAGTTTTCAGCCTGATCAACTAAACTGGAATTAAAATAAATGCAACAGGTCTTGTATATACTGAATAAATGCAAGAACGGTGTCAAATGGTGAATATCTATTCTACAGTATGACAAATAGGCAATTTATATAATTTTTGGATAGTTTCCAATGTGATTGTCCCTCATATATATTGATTAATAGAGTACCAAAACAATACATTTCACTTGAAAATGACAATTGCTGCATAAAAATGTTCCTGTGTCAAATGGGACATTTGTCCAGGGCACCATAAGGCATAACACTTCATATGCAGATCGAAACACAACTAATTTTCAGCTTTAAATGTAGCTCATTTTGAGTTAACTTGAATCATAGTTTCTTTGTATACAAAATAGTTTAAATTAACAACATGTTTGGAAAGATGAGAGCACTCAGCAGTTAATAGACTTTGAATTGCGATTTCCCGCTGCGCGGTATGAATACATATTTGGGCTGAGACTGAGGTTACAGAAATATCTCAATGCACTCTTCAACAGAATCTTAGGCGGACATATTTTTATGCACAATATTTTAAGTTATTTTTCTATTACTATTTTAGTACAAGTTAGAGGACGAAATTCGTCATTATTCTATTCATTACATATAAATATTCCCTCCAGCTATTGACAATGACTACAGTATATAAGCGGTATACAAAAATAGTTTATAACTCACCTATAGATAAATATCTATCTTATCCACGTACCGCTTGTTCTGCTTCTGTCCGAGTGAACTTTACAACGGCCAGATTTCGAAAGCACGGCTATATACATTTTTAATTAATACGGTGTTGATTCAAAGCGCGTCAAGCAGCTACCCTTTTTAATTTTAATAGTCTATGAACATTATTCTAATCAAGCTTGGTTTAACTTTAACCAATGAATGTTTATCAATTCCCATTATAGCGTTATATTAGGATTCAGCTTTTCCATACTCTGGCATCAAACTATATGAAACGATCACATTCAGTCGAACGATATACTTTATAATAGCGCTAGCAGACACCGTGCAGACACTGACTGACAAATTTGGAACATGAAACCAAAATTGTATACTGAAACGCAAGTTCTTATTGGTCGAAAGCTTGTAGTCAGTTAGTAGGGCAAAATTTGAATATTTATGTAACACACCGATTGTGTTTTTTCAAAACCGTGCTAAAATACCGATATTACAATCTTCTTGAATGAACTATACTATCTTTTCCCGTAATTGATAGATAGATCTATTAATTTCGTGATAAATATTAATGTAGTTCTTGGAGTCCTATGTTTTTACAATGAACCAATTCGCCTTTAAAAACATAGCTGGCTAATTCTAATATATTACGGCGTAATTTTCAAGCTTCAAGGTGAACACCACAGAAACTATAGTTAACACAAATGAACAATAACGAACGTATAAAAGTCACAAAGAGAGATGTATGTATTTTAAAACCTATGTGTCCAAAGGTTAACTAAGGAAGGAGTGTTATTTTGAATAGGCGTGTTACTTCGTAAGGCGTGTTTTCCCAAGATGTGTTAATAAAAATTTTAATTAGGTGTGTTATTTGAAAAAGTGTGTTATCTGACCAAGGCGTGCTATTTTACAAGATGTGTTGCCTTTCGAAGGTGTGCTGTAATTAAAAGACATGCTGGAGTAACACACGCATTTTGTCGGAAGGTGTGTTTGGCTTAATAGCACGAAAGATGTGTTATTGAAAGGCGTGCTTTTTAACCCACTGGCGTGCTCTTTAACATACCATGATAGGTTAACTAGCACATCAAGGTGTGTTAAGGTTTGATTGTGTGTCAGTGTAGCACACCAGGCGTGTAAGATAACACAGGTCGGTGTGTTATTAAGCACATCTATTTTTTAGAGTCTTTACATTAAAAGTATTGTTCAGGGTAAATTATTATAGGTTACAGATTTAAGGCATCTAATCGTGTGTGGAATGAGTGGAAAAGAGCTTTTATTGCTTCTGGCTTAGATTCGTTTTGTCAGACATGTTGAGTTCATTCGAGCCTCAGTTTCTCTCCTCCACAGATACTTTCTTTGCCCGCGCTCCCAATTTATTTTTTTATTATACCTCAAGCACAGTACGAAATTTGGTTTGTTTAATTGAAGCCTCTCCGAGAGAAGACCGTAGCCAATTAATTAGCAGGTGTGGCAGGCGTTTATTATCCGTAGAGAGTCGGATACCTCATTGACAGTCGGATACCTCATTGATAGTCGGACACATCTTTGATCCACGTCAAGGACTCCGTTACCGACGTGGCTGCCATACAAATTCAATATGGCGCCCAACTAAGGAGTGGGGGTTTATTTTATATTTTCCACCCCTAATTTTATGAAGGGAAGTTAATAGATTGAGATTGAAATCCCAGGTTGCAAATTCGAATTTTAACGCGACCTATTGAACAACGTATCCTTATATCAAGGAAACACGCTTACCAGTTGCTCGGGAACCTATCCCAAGCGTCGAAGGCTTCAGTACGAGATTACTTGAACGCACTCATGCATATTTTAATGCACATGTGGAACGCAGTAAACAAATGGATATGAGCTATGAGCGAACCTCATGCCTAGCCGCAGATCCACCGTTATCATTTCCTGCTGCTCACAAAGCAAATCGCAGTTTGGTAGTTGAATCTATAAGTATAATTGCTCAGCGTTTTGTGCAACCCATTCCGGGCGAGCATCTGGTCTACTTGAATGCATTGTTTAGAAGACTTCTTTCTGTATAAGGCTATGGAGGGAGACTATATATACATAATTATGTAATGTTCAATATATATCTGTCGAGGACTGTCTTGAACATGTGAGACTAGCACAAAAATTCTCCATGAAAGGAAGACACTGTCATGAAGCAACATTAATCGAAAACGTCAATCATGCAAACTACAGCCAAAATAAAATTATCCAGGGAATGGCTGTTTTTATACGTTAATATCGTTTAGATAATATTGTCTCAGAGCCGTAATATTGTCAAGTGCCTGTGCTTCTTCGCCCAGCGGCTCCGCTCGTGTTCCAAGATCCGCCATGTAAAGTGTAGTGAAATGTATCTCAATACTAATCGTAATCATAGCCGACAGAAGCCTCTGTGGAGGACAGAGGTCTAGTGCAAAGTGAAAATGTTTCTAATATTAAACAACCAATCTAGTTGGCAAATAAATAATTAAACCACTATCGTTCCCTGGGTATAAGATCTTTGGACAAACAACAAAATATAAACGTATATACAACAGCGATGAAAATAATTGCCACTTTTATGCCTTAGATTGGTTAAGCAGGACGTTCTTCATTTTCGTTATAGTCCAGGGATGAAAACGTTTAACACGATCACATAACTAATGAACAGCAACAGATAACCATGGTGATTGTCTGAAGTTCTCGATTATTTGTATGCCGACGTACCAGCCAATGGATGTCGATGCTGTGACAGCAATACTTATCAACAGCGGTACGATAAGCATTCCACCCAAAACGGGTAAAGAACCAAGCAACAGCAAAAAAACCATCAAAAGAATTCCTCCCAAAGAAAAGAATATTGGAATGTATATACCTAGAAACAGCAGCGTCAAAACATACACTTTACAGGTTTTGTAGATAAGCAGTAAAGAATTTCGCAAAGAAAATAATATGGTAGACGTACTGTATCATGCTTCCATGCATGCAGAAGATTGATTACCAAGATTTTCGCCATTCCTATGAAAGGAAACAACTCTAGTTAGTATGGAGTTTCGTTTCGATTTGAACTTTTCACCTCTGAGAACGTGGGTTCGATTCTCACTACGGGCCCATGCATGTGAAAAGAGTCGGCCAACGCTCTGTCGAAAGTCATGGGTTTTCTCCGGGCGCTCCGGTTTCCTCCCACAGGGAAAGTTAACACGGTGGGTTAGGATAAACATATCAGTTAGGAAAGTAATATTACAATTGTTTTAATTTTAAAGATAATTAGTCTAGGCTAAGTAGATAATGTAAGTAAACCTAATGATGTAATCGGTCACTGAAAAGCCCCGTTGGAGAGTGAGCTGAATTACTGAATAATATATGTATGTATGACTTGCACGTCACATTACATACTAACTTTCCGAAAAAACTCCAGGTCACTTTGAATATCCTGCATACTAGAAATTATAAACTGTGCATACCTGTTATGTCAACAAACTACAATTTTTTATGTTGCTTGCATGTAGGTCAGCAAAATTTCTTTACAATGATGCAGTTATAAATAAATTTCGTCGCATAAGCACTTTACTCTGATTTCTTGATAATAAGCGGATATATTTCTGAAAAATCGGACAGTTTAGATTCAAGTCGGAGATCAAGAGGAACGCATCTGTGTGGAAATCGAAAGGTTGGAACCTTAACGTTTGTTACTCTGTCTGACACCAGACGATTTTACCTGTTTTTGAATAGGCGAGTTATCTGGAAAAATCATTTGGGCTAACGCATTAATAAAAATCACTTTATATATAAAAACAAATGCACATACCTGGTCCTGATTCACCGAGATCATGGTCCAAATTTTGGGTCTGTAATGAAATACAACAATTATTTCATTACTCTGACTATAGCTAATATACCCTGGGCGAACAAGTCTTTCCACTTGGGAGCACAAATATGTTTCTAACTGAATTTAGCCTCAGTTCTTGCATGGTCGGACAAACGAGGAAACTTCACATTCGGGAAACAATAGAATTTTCGGATATTTCCACAACAATCCGTTACTTTCGTAGTCAGATTAATCATGCAGGATATGGTATAATAGAACTTTTTTTAAATAAGTAGCCTGCGCAACATGCGTGCATTGCCAATCTTCCAAATACTTGCGAGCCCTCGGTAATGTTTTTTTCAACGGACCAAACAAAGGGCAACAAAATTATTCAGGAAATTTTGGCTGCATTATATTAAATAAAACAAGCTGTCCCTAGATTTTGTCCTTAGACGTATACAGCAATTTAGTAAAAAATCTTTCCATTACCTTATTGTCTTGATATGTCTTAGGAAGTAAATTAATTTTGCTAGAAGACTCTCTAGGCTCTCTTTCAAAAAATTGTCCAATGCTGTCAATATTGCTTGTCGTCATGTTTTCTCAATATATCACTCCTGGAAAATTTTAATAAATATTATTGTGGTAATTGGAGGGCATGCATGACCAGCCCTAAACTCCTGATGGTACATACTGTTTACCGGAATCTTATAGTGCTATATTTGACGTATGACGTAGGCGAGCGGGGCGGAGCTGCATCATTTTTAAGCCAGGCAGGTTATACTTAATCGAGTAATCAGGTTAAAACCGGACATGCAGATTCTACTTGAAAATGCGCCCGAGATTCTACTTAAAGATCGGGAAATTCGTCTTTAAAATCGCGGAAATGACGAAAGGGAAGCCCGGCGCAGTCGAAAAAGCAAGAAATATGCAACGTGCGAAAATGTTTAACCTCCAGGAAAATTTTCCGCCGGCTGAGATGAAAAATAAAGTCTAGAAGTTACAATCACACCGAGTGCTGCCTCAAACTTGACGCTTTCAAAAGATAAATCAGTCGGAATGGACACGCATTAAGTATTACACCAGGAAGAAGCACTGCTCTACAAATACACATTTTACATCTATGACATCATACTTTATTGATGAGGACTCATACCATTGGATATATCAACTGTCCAAATATTTTCCATATGATAAACGAAATTAAACACGATTATGAGATTCCACGTGTTTATCGAAACAGGCATTACATCAGTCCACTTTCTATAATTTTATGACGTAGATAAATACGTAATGAATAAAAATGTTTTACGCATGCGCGCGTTTGGAGCCATACACAGGTCACAACTTCTGGGCCACAGAATTGTAGAATATGTTAGGCTGCAGCCTGTAGAATCTTGTAAACAAAATGGTGTCATACACTCTTGCTGCGCCATAATTTGTCAGCACTTTGTCAACATATAGTGAATAAAACGTTTTTAGCAATTTGAATGCTGAACTTTTATTTGAGAAGTAAAAATAGTGCAAAAGTTTAGGTAAATGTTAACATTTCAAAAGTTCAAATAAATTTATGAAAGGTCGTAAGTAGCTAATAAAGGCCGAAGCTGGGACATTGGGTATGTTTCTGGGACATCGCTTATCCGGGCAAGTATGGGCATGCCTGGAATGAGATTCCTGGAATTCCGTTTTCCCGGAATAGAATCGATGACGTCACTTCTGGTCCCCCTTTTTCCCGCGCCCCGCTGGGAACACTCTGCCTACCGGCCACCACCCCCCACCTCTCGCGCAGTCATGAGCATGCCCACCGCGCAACTGTGAGCAAGCCCACCGCACAGCCCCCGCCACAACCGCCATAAGCCCACCGCAAACCCTCCACCCCACGCGCTTGCCGAGGTTTTCCTGAAGGGATTTGGCAGAATCAACATAAAGGTAAGCGGTTCTGTAAAGAAAACAGCCATGTCAATTTCAGTAACCAAGGTAGAGGGATTCTCCGGAAAATCTTTTGACTTTGAGGAACCTGTTGGAAACAGATTTGGGTCTGAGAGTATTGGGCTTGTGGCGGAGGACGGCGGACCCCTCTTGCTCCTACTAAAGGACTGCTTAGCTTATGGGATCAATAAGGACAAGAAGTTTGGGAAGGAGAACTTTACCATCCCATTGACGGTCGGAAACCGTAAGGATTTCATATCAGCCCTGGAAGTATTGGAGAGAAGATGTGCTGAGGAAACCGGAAAGTCCGGGGCAAACGTCATAAGGTGTTTCTATCGAGGTGGGAAGCAACCTGTCGTGTATGCAAAGATCGATAAAACTAAGGCGATGTATAAGGATGGGGGAGGGGATATAGATCCCATGAAACCCGCCAGCAAGCATTTTTATCTGGATGCTTTGGTTAGGTTCCCAAGCATATATGTGTCTGGGGATATGGTATCCGTTCAGGTACTACTTCAGGAGGGTGTATACCTGAGGGAAAGGAAGGCGGAACCCTGGAAGAGGCTTTTGCGTCCACCTACGGATAAATAAAGGAGTACTTGGATTTATTTAAATTTTAGTGTTCCTTCGGACATTAAAATTGGTTTGTTTGGATTCCTATTACCTTAGGTTCCTATGCCCCATTGCCGTGGTGTGTATTCCGTCTTCGCTGACTATCCTTTTGTCACCGCTTGCCGATAGGGCTACCTTGACGACCCTTTCCGTGTATATTTCGTGCAGTCTGCTTCTGAAGACATTCATTCCTCTCCATTGTTTCTTACCGCTGAAGAGGCATTCTTTGTAGTTGTCGAATGTTATTTCCTTTTTGATGACTGCCTTCTTAACACCCTTACACTTTTTCTCCTCATCCCCATCTTCCGCCATTTTGTAGGCGTACAGTTTTGCTCTGAGTCCTACGAATTCTTCGATCTGTTTTTTCCCCGTTTCCATTTTCATCATTCCGATGGCCTTTTTGTTGACTCCGGTCGGAATTCCGGAGGGGTGGTTTTTACCGATGTTGCTGATATCGAATCTTTCGTAGACATCTTTGGAAATGTCTTTGAAGAAATCTTCGGTTATTACTTCATAACATAGTGAGTCTGTGTCTGTGAATAGGAGTTCAGCATCATTCCCATACATTGGTTTGATGTAGTTATAGTGAAAGTTGTACATGAGGGTTTTGCTGATGTCCGGGATACTCATTCCAAGGTATATGGGTTTTATGAGTTTTACGGGATGTTCTTCTCATGTGGACTGCCACCAAGTTTTCGGAAAACATGGTTGCCGATTTGAAGTTATGCTTTTTGGCTAGCTTGTTCCATTTCTTTTCGTCGTTGACGATACTGATATCAACCCTATTCCTTACGTTTTCCATGGTCTTTCCGAATACGGAGTTATTCATAAGTTTGAAGAAATCTTTTTCGAAGTCTGTGGTTCCCTTGGTACGGAGGTCCGTGTTGAGCTGTATGTATTCTTTCATCCAATCCCTTTCGAGGAATTTGACTCCTCGATGTATTTTGGTTAGCTTTAACCCCAAGCTCAGGTATTGCTTTAGGTTTGTGTGGTGGAGGACGTATTTTTCCTTATTGTTGAGGTTACGGATGAGCTTTTCCGTTTTGTTAACCATTATCCTTTCTGGTGCTAGGGGGTATTCGTTGTGTAGGTCGTGGAGATCGTCGGGGTATTCTAGATCCACTTCGAGGATGCAACTGTGTTCCGTCCATTTTTCCAGCTCGTTGCTGTTCATCCATTTGAAGTTCTTGATGGGTAAGGGCTGACTCATTGCCCATCCGTAGAGGTTGTTTGTGTCCATATAGGGGAGGTACTTGCTTTTCTTCTTGGGGTTGTAGTTAGACATGTACTTGTTGTTGGCTATGGCATGTCTTTTGGTGATGGTGCTGATTCCTCCGCGGATTCCCCTTTCTATGAGTAGGTACATGTCTGGATCGGAAATAAGCTCCAGTTCTACCTTGGTTAGTTTTAGGGCGGCATCCCACGCTAGTCCAGGTGATATGTAGTACCATAGGAGGTCGAGTCCATAGTTTGTTCTGCATACTTTTCTGAAATTTTCCATAACATCTGCCAGGAGGAGGACGTCTGTTTTAAGGTAAAGGTCGTGATAATCCCTCATGGTTTTCATGTTGAAGGTGTTCCACACGTCCTGTGCTCTTTTATAATCGCTGTTGCTGATGTTTTCGCCGGTAAGACTGCTGAAGAATTTGTTCTTGGGTGGGAGGTCCGTCTCTTCCAGCTTGTCGAATCCATCCATTTACTCATAGGGGTATACACCCTTCTGTTTAAGCATTTCTTGTTGTTTTCCGGTATAGTGGGATGACATTAAGTTCAGGTTTTTAAAATCATCTTTACCTAAACCTTTGGTGAGTTTGTCCAGGGAGCTTGCCATAAATTTGAAGGAGTCCAGGAATTTAATTCCGTTTTGACCTTCTTTTCCTTACTATCCTTATTTTTAAACTTATCAACCTCCACCTCCTTAGTAAAGGAGATGTATTTTTCTTCCGTCTTGGGAATGCATTTTATGTCTCCACTGCTCACCCCGAGGTTTTTGATAAATAAGTGGGCATCATACCCTTCAAGGTTATGGAAGAGGACTGGTATGAATTTTGGTTGCTTCATCTTGAGGTTGCATGAGTTGTGTGCTGCACCCCTGTATTTTCCTGTGTAGTGTCAGTGGTCGTTGACTTTGTAGTCCTTTAGGGTGAATTCTTCCTTACATGCGTAGCAGGTGGTTGCTTCTTCGTAATTTTTGGTATCCCTGGGGGTCATTCTGACGGGCTCTTTGAACTTGAACTTGTTGTAGATATCCTTTATTTCCTCCACAAGCATGTCCACAAATTTTTTGGGGATACTGCTGGGTATAGTGTACCTCATACTGCTGGGTATAGTGTACCAGCTTGGGTTTGTAGATGGAGTCGTCGAAGCACTTAATGTAGTAGCAGAATCCGCTGGGGTTGAGTTTCTGGTATTGTGTGGTACTTGACTTGTCTAGACTTTGCTCTTCTGCGATCAATTTCCTGATGTAGCATTCAAAGTCTGCGTAGATGGTAATTGGGAATTCCTGTGTCTTTTTATAGTTTTCGAATTTTGTGGTGCTACCGGTTTTTGGATATTCGTGTCTTTGGTAGTCGTTGTTCGAGCATAATTCCAGGTGTTTTTCTAGGAGTTCATTTGACCCGAATGCGTTAAGGCATCGGTCGCATATGTATTTTTTGTGTTCGTTCTTGTTGATTTGTGAGCCTACGAGTTTTGACATGTCCTTAACCACGCGGTAGTGGTTTTTCCATAGGAAGAGTCTTATGGGATCGGTTTTTCATAATACTCGTAAGGGGTAGTAGACCTTGAGGCTTTCGTCGGCACTGAACACGTTGGCGCAAACGTTGTTGTTCTTTTCGAACTTTTTAATGTTGTTTAGAGGTGTCGGGAATTCAACCCCTTCCCAATTTAGCTTGCTGGACTGTTTTTAGTTCTTTTGTGATTCTTTCCGGATGGGTGTCGGATGGATTTAGAGCACGTGTGACGGCCCACTTGAAACATTCGTCGTCGTCGTTCTTCATGTTGATAATTACTTTTTTGCTGGCTATGGATTTGGGTAGGGGTTCGTGTTTTTTACCCCTAAGTGGTCGGAACTCTCCAATGTGAATTTCCAGCTGAACGACCCTTCGTAGTCTCCACCCACTACCTCTTCTCTGGTATTCTGAGAAGGACTTTAACATTTTTTCCCTCATGGTACCTTGTGTTTCTTCCGTATCATCCGTGCCGATAAGTTTGTGGTTTTTTTATCCGAAGTGAGCGATGGTTGACACTTTTCCCCCGGTTTTAGGATCGCTCCTTGCCATTTCACAGGCCAGTGACATCCTCACGTTTCTGAGTTCCGTTTCGGAGTTTATAAGTGTTTTAACCTCGTCTTCCGTGATGGTTAGGAAGTAGGCTGGGTCGTAGTTACCGTTTGGGGTAATGACGTACTTTTTTACTTTTACCTTGATGGCGTGCTTGGTCAGGATGGGTTTCAGGATTTCTCTCGGTTTTTTCCAAATTTTTCTTAGCTTATCACCCACCTTTAGCTGAAGTCTGGCAAATTTCTCCTTACCTTTCCACTTACCCTCTGCGATCCTCCGGTTTTTCTCAGCTCGCCTTTCGCGGGCCTTTGCGTTCCGCCGCAGTCGCTGGGTCTCCTTTTCCACTTTTGAGCCTCGGTTTTCCAGTCCGTGACCTCCTTTCGCCGCCTTCTTTCTTCTTTAGCGATGTCGCTTTTCCATCGTTTTGCATCCCTTATTACCTTACGTACGTCGGCCTCGGTTTGCTTTCTTCGTCTCTGGAACTGTCTTGCTGCTGATTTAAGTTCCTTTCCGATTATTCTTCTCTTCTCCTTCTTGAGTAGTTCGTCGAAATGGTTGTTAATTTTTTCTTCTATTTCTAGACCTCTCTCCCTAGCCTTTTCCAGAACGTTAGTTCTCATCCATTAGTCTAGGACCTGTATATGAGTTTGTATGCGTTTCATTTACCACAGGTAATCTCAACTGTTTTAGGGTAAAATGACCATGGCGGTCAACATGGCATATGTGCCAAAACCTGAATCCTGGACGAAAGTCCTGAAAATGACCCCGCCCTGAAACGGCAGTGCCGACATAGCTCTAACTTCCAAAAAGCAAAAGCGACAGCCTTTCTGAAGTGCTTATAGTGTTTAGAAGGGTTGCTTTTAGGGGTGGTTATTGGAAGGAAAAATTTGTGGAAGTATAATATTTTACAAGAAAATGACCATTTATCACCCCAGGTAAATTGCTGATTATGCAGAAAATAACTAATATACATGGCAGAAATAAAATATCCTTATTTCCTAAAGGAAATTACCATGGAATGAAAAACTATGCTTAATTTAATATAATTATTGCAGTTTTCATAAGGATAGTCACTGTTTTCTATAAATATAATATATTTTATTTCACTTACCCCCCACGAAAACACGATTTCGGCCATATTTTGCCGTCTTGTTTGCTTTATATCGCTGTGTCTCGCAAATAACATCCACTTGTTGTACTTTTACATAATGGAAAATGGCTAAAGGAGATTTCAACCAAGTTTCGGCAAGTTTTGGAGCAGTGCAGTGTATTTTATCTTCGATATTGTGTCCTTCGATATTTCGTCCATATGCCGCCATTTTAATGGCTCGCCGATTCTCTGCCCGATAAATGCCACTTCTTCGTCTTTATATGTATTTAGATTACAGTATCCAAGAGTACTTCATTGTAGAATAGTCCTAAAAGAAAAATTGAAAAAAATACTTGCACTTTGAAGGAAAAAACCTCCCACAACAAATTCAGGATAGGAATAAAAACAAATCATTTGAAAGTCACGCGCAATCTTCGCGAAAATTCCTCGTGGCTACTTGACAGGGGGGGGCGAATATTTTCACGAAACGTTGTTCCCACAGCAACCTAACTGGATACAGGGCCGTAGCAACCGGGGGGGCTGGGGGGGCTGCAGCCCCCCCAATAATTTGCTAATAATCATTCTTTTTTCAAAATCATGCAAACTTTATCATTTAATCTGTGACAAACTGCAAAGAATGAAGATATTACTCATATTCCAGATCGTTCCTCGCGTAGAAATTTTAGCTGAATTTCTGTCGCGCATTTTCAAGAAAATCCCACAAAATCTGCACATTTTTGATGAACTAATGATTTATTTTGTCTTTTGCGTGTTGGGTCTTGCGAAAGAAAACTCTGAAAATGCCATTTCAGACCATCTAGAGACTCCAGATTTTCGAAATTTTCTCAAATGTTCTGCCTTCATTTCCGCGCAACTGCCATTTACGACGAAAATTCCGCCGCGCATTTATAATACTACAGTCTGGCCCATACTTTCCTGTAAATTTCGACATACTAAAACGCTGTTTTCTGACTATCAGAATTCTGTTAAATCTTCCCCCAAAGTCCAGGAAATGGCATTTTAGAGACTCTAAATTTAAAAATTTCCTCGGGCCTTCGGCCCTCGCTTTCAGCCCCCCCCAATCGAAAAGAGCTTCCTACGGCCCTGGGATATCTAGATATATGATATTTATTGCATTTTTATGATTGATAATAAAAATACGTAAATATTTAATGTTTTTAATTTTTATTTTTAAATCATAAGATACAATAAATACAATATATTTAGTTGAAACTTGAATTGCTGTGGTGGCGAACAACGTCTCGTGAAAATATTCGCCCCCCCTGTCAAGGAATTTTCGCGAAGATTGCGCGTGACTTTCAAATGATTTGTTTTTATTCCTATCCTGAATTTGTTGTGGGAGGTTTTTTCCTTCAAAGTGCAAGTAATTTTTTCAAATTTTCTTTTAGGACTATTCTACAATGAAGTACTCTTGGATACTGTAATCTAAATACATATGAAGACGAAGAGTGGCATTTATCGGGCAGAGAATTCGGCGAGCCATTAAAATGGCGGCATATGGACGAAATATCGAAGGACACAATATCGAAGATAAAATACACTGCACTGCTCCAAAACTTGCCGAAACTTGGTTGAAATCTCCTTTAGCCATTTGCCATTATGTAAAAGTACAACAACTGGATGTTATTTGCGAGACACGGCGATATAAAGCAAACAAGACCGCAAAATATGGCTGAAATCGTGTTTTCGTGGGGAGTAAGTGAAATAAAATATATTATATTTATAGAAAACAGTGACTATCCTTATGAAAACTACAATAATTATATTAAATTAAGCATAGTTTTTCATCCCATGGTAATTTTTTTTAGGAAATAAGGATATTTAATTTCTGCCAGGCATATTAGTTATTTTCTGCATAATCAGCAATTTACCTGGGGTGATAAATGGTCATTTTCTTGTAAAATATTATACTTCCACAAATTTTTCCTTCCAATAACCACCCCTAAAAGCAACCCGTCTAAACACTATAAGCACTTCAGAAAGGCTGTCGCTTTTGCTTTTCGGAAGTTAGAGCTATGTCGGCACTGCCGTTTCAGGGCGGGGTCATTTTCAGGACTTTCGTCCAGGATTCAGGTTTTGGCACATATGCCATGTTGACCGCCATGGTCATTTTACCCTAAAACAGTTGAGATTACCTATGGTAAATGAAATGCATACAAACTCATATACAGGTCCTAGACTACATTCAATAGATTAAATTTTTTGTCCGAAATTGGAGCATTTTGTTTGGTAAACTCCATTGCTTTATTATATAGAAAAGTTTATCTATAAAGTGATTATAAGGTTGATTCTGTTTTTCAGACCTATAAGGTTTGAAAAAGCAATGGAGTTCACAAAATGCTCACGGAATCGGACGTATGAGAAATGTCTCTTTTATTGTATAGGATTTATTTTGGAAAAGTTGATTCTGTTTTAGTCATTGGATCACACCTGTAGGACCTAACAGGGTCTTTGCCATCCCATCCAGCAGCAGCTGATCGTCTTCTCCCTCACTAGTTAGTATATCTTCAACCTCACCTAGAAGGACTGTGTCTGTCCGGTCCCCTAGGTTTTTGACCCAGCACCTACGTATGTGGGGGGTAAGATCGGAGATGGTAAGGAAGTCTGACTAGAATACCACCCGGTTCTCCGTTGTTGACAAAGTTTAGCCTACGGATTTCAGAATTTTTTCCCATCCACCCGTTTCCAAACTTAACGTTGACTTTTGCTATGCGTTGACCGGTCGGTATGGGAACTATTCTGCCAAATACGGGTCTTGTGAATTCTATGGTAAGCATCATGTCCTTGTAGTTAACCTGTTTATACATCCTTTCGATATGGTTCACCTTTTCTGGACAGCGGAAAATAATTCCGACCCTTATTATTTCCTCCTTTTTGAGGCATCTCCTTGTATTGGGTCGTTCCATGGTTGCTTTGTTTCAGGGGCGGACTGGGCGGTCGGGCATTCGGGGGCGGACCGAGGCCCGGAGAACTTTGGGGGCCCAGAATTCACTAGATTTCGAATGACAACAAACCATTATCCAAAAAGTCACCTGGCGAAAATTAGAGTTATATTTTTTATAACACTTCAGACTCTGCCCTTTCGAAGTAAAATTTAGAATCTATAGCAACTGCTTTTGATGCAGCTGCAAAAGCTATTGTAAACCATGGCAATTTTCTAGGGGTTGTGAAACTTATTGCTGAGTTCTATCCAATCCTGCAAGCTCATTTAAATAAGGTAATCAAGTTGGCAAAGAAACGTGATCCTAAAAAGAACGGTGGGGCAAATTTTGTAACTTTTCTCAGCAAAACAAGTGTTGTAAAGATTTTCAAATTGATCGCAGAGATGTAAAAGGAGAGAATTGCCAAAGATGTAAATGGCGCTGGCTTATTTTCTGTACAGATGAGATGGATTCTACTATATACAGATGTTTCCAACCACAATCAGTATGCTGTTGTTGCAAGGTATGCAGAAGAGGACAAAGCGAGAGAAAAGCTATTGTGTCTTGTAAATGTGTCCTACTCAAGAACCCAAAGTATCCACAATTTATTCGATAAGTCTTTAGAAGAAGTAGGAGTTTAACTGGATATGTGCATTGGAGATTCATTCGACGGAGCAACGAATTAGAGTGGTGTCTACAATGGCTAACAAGGTCTACTTAACCAAGTCCATCCAAACCATGTTCATACCTTTCGTCATATGCGCACGTCGTCAATTTGGTCATTGGTGATGCATCCACCGTTTCCGTCCAAGCTGTATAAGTTGTTCGTGCTACTGAATCAAATGGCAAATCTCTTCAAAGAATCTTACAAGAACATGAATGTGTGGGAAAAGCAGATGGAAGATAATACCGGCCACACATAGCTTCGAAAATTAGCGAGGTTTTGCCAAACCAGGTGGTCCAGCCGAGCAAGAGCCTTGAAAAAATTGTTTGGCAGTTTCAATGACGACACAAAAGAACTATTCTCAAATCTGTTGATGATTCTACAACACGTCAATGAAACACCAAATTTCAAAGGTAGTATTCGATACAAAGTCAAGTGCCTGGGGCAAAATCTTTCAAAATTTGAAACTGTGTTAGTAGCATTCACATATATTCCAATCTTTGATATCACCACTCCAGTGTCGGACTATCTGCAGACACCTGGATTAGATATTTTTCAAGCATGGAGAATGATGAACGAATCAACGGACAAACTAAGCAAGATCGCTAGAGATTTCCTTACTATATATATACCAGCATGCGACAACGTTTATCAATGGAGTTAATGATAAATTATCCGAACAAAGCATTCGTTTGACAACCGACCTACCAGAAATTCGCGCAACAGCAACGCGAAGAGTGCAAAGTGCTGAAAAAAATTTTGAGATAAATTGTCATAATGTGATCTTGGGTACAGTGGTCGTAAGCATCAGAACCCGATTCTCTGATCACAAAGAACTATATATAACGAGATTGCGTGCTTTGATCCTAACAGGTTTAAGGAAGTAAAAACACACCCAGAGATGATCAATCTAATCACGATAGCTGAAGCTTAGCCTTAAGTAGACACGGTCTCCTTAAAAGAAGAGCTCTGACTTATCCTTTGCTTCAAACTATCATCAACTGAAACAAGGCTTGTTACCAGGAAATTATGACGATCTCAGCGACTTATAATTCAATTCACATATTATTTTAAGCAAAGAAAATAACATTTTAAAAAACTATACATTTGTACACTTGTACATGGGCCCGGATTTTATTCCTGACCGAGGGCTGGAATATTACTAGTCCGCCCCTGCTTTGTTTATATGTAGGAAGTGTTGTCTATAGATTGTTGATTCTGAATTTGAGGTACTTCTGACTAGAACTGAGGTTAGTCAAATGTAGTCATAAGTTACTCAAATGTAGTCATAAGATACTTTTGACTAGATTTAAGGTTAGTCTTAACTAACTTTGACTAGACTTAAAGTTACTTGCAAGTTACTCAACTTTTTACTTGAGGTTAGTCAAATGTAGTCATAAGTTACTCAAATGTAGTCTTAACTAACTTTTGACTAGATTTAAGGTTAGTCTCAACTAACTTTGACTAGACTTAAAGTTACTTGCAAGTTACTTAAATTCTACTATAAATAAAAGGAACCATGTCGCAAGAGAATCCAGATACAACAGCAGTACCTGTCACAAATCCTGTAAAGACCCACGTCAAGGACCCTAAAAGGGTGGAGTCGGGACGTAGGCTTGCTAGGATCAGTAAGGAAGCGAAAGCAAGAAAGAAGGCACAACTTGAAGCTATCAAAGAAGAGGAGCAGAGCATTACGGACACAGAGGACGAAAGCGATGGGTCAATAGTCACATGGGCGTACGGGAAGGAAAAAATTAGGGGGGCGGAAAGAAATTTGCCTGACTTTTTCGGATTGTGCCCGAGTTGTCAAAAAATATTTTCCGGAGAAACTTTCCAAAATTTTTGTCGACGGGGAGGGGAGGAATGATTACGAAAAATTCCTATTAGATAGCATATTTCCCACAAAATTGACAGAATTTCCCACAAAATTGACAGAATTTGTCCGATTTATTTTTATAATAAGCCAATATTGCCCGACTGTGAAGCGAATATTGCCCGACTGGCTTTGTTTGCCCAACAAACTGGGGCTGCCGCCCGGTACGCCCATGAATAGTCACCCTAGAGAGAGTCAGCTTGGTAGTAGGTATCGCCGTAGGGCTCGGATCCCTCTATGTTATGTGGTGTAGTCGTCAGGAAAAGAACGGGAAGCCTGAGGAAAATAAGATTGTAGAGGAGCCGGAACTTGTTGTTATCACACCAAAGGGACCTGACTTGTTTGACTGAGTATAATAAAACAATGTCGCAGTTATTCTTGGACATACTGACATGGGCGTACCGGAAGGAAAAAATTAGGGGGGCGGAAACAAATTTGCCCGACTTTTCGGGATTTTGCCCGACTAGTACCCAAAAATTTTTCCCGGAAAAATTGTTTCGGCGACCTCCCCCCCCCGTCGCCAAAAAAATTTCGGTCAGTGTACCATTTTAGCGGTCAAAAATTTTTTCCGGACATACCAAAATTTTTCGAAGCATCACTAAAATTTTCCAAAAACACAAAATTGAGACAAAATTGACAAAATTTGTCCCATTTATTTTTATTACAAACCAAAATTGCCCGACTGTTGATCGAATATTGCCCGACTGCCCAAAAAACTGGGGGGGGGCTACCGCCCCGCCCCCCCGCCCGGTACGCCTCGTAGTAGTTTCGGAAGATTTCCTCACTCATCCTTTTATTTGATATAAAGTTCTAGCAAGACATCTCCAGGAACAGCTCCGGTATTAGACCCGATTTCAAACCGAATTTCATTGTATTTACCAGCATCCACTCGTACTTGGCTTTCAATGTCTGGTTTTGGTCCCAAAGAGAGGTCTGGTTCCATCGATGGGAAGGGAAGTGATGACAGTACTACGATTTCCGTACGGTCCAATGTTATGCTCACGATTCACAAGGTTACAGCTGACTGTCGGGTAATGCAAGCCTTCATGGATGTCTACGGGACGATCGCTGATGTGTGGGGTGTATGTAGGACCATTGGAGGACCGATATCCCAAAATACTCGTGAGATTTCGGAGTCCTGCGGAATTTGTCCCCTTAGCAAAGTCGATCCTTATTCTTCCATCGGGATATTCCTTAAGTGTCAATCCGTTTTCCTCCAACTCTTTCCGCAGCTGTTTAAAGGTCCAGTACCCTTCATCTATCATAATATTCTTCGCATCTACGGAAATGTAGTCATTGAACCCCTTACGAATGTTCTTAACTTCTTATAATTCCAAAACACGGCAGCAGTCTTTACGTAAAGTTCGGATCCATGGGTAAGGATCAGTGGATCCTGTAAATCCAGGGTAATCCCTCCGCTCTCAACATAGACTGTGTTATCTTCTTCATGTTTTATTTACAGGTAATAAAATGAGTCTGGCATTGGACGTAGCTCTTCTGGAAATATATTTTAACGTTAACGGTGGGTACATGTCGATGGAAAAATTATACCAAAGTGCAGAGGAGGAGGGTATAAAGGGAGTTAGCCGTAAAAATGTTAAGGAATGGTTACAGACACAAAATACCTACATTATTCATAAACCGTCCAGAAAACATTACAAAACCCAAAGGACCTATGTGGATGGATTTGCCCAGCAAATTCAAATGGACCTTGTGGATATGAGTAAATTTAGCCACGGGAATAAGGGAAACCGCTGGATTCTAACTGTCATAGAGGTTCTAAGTGGATATGCCTTTGCCGTTCCCGTATGGAGGAAAAATACCGAAAGCATGACGAAGGCTGTTGAAAATGTGCTCGCACAATTTAAGGAAAGATTCGGCAGGTAACCTAAAACAGCACAGTTAGATGACGGAAAGGAATTTTACAATGTAGGAGTAAAGACATTGCTAAAAGATCATGATGTCCATTACTTTTCCACAAGGACCTTCCGGAAAGCCGCACTTGTCGAGAGGATGTGGAAATGTGAAAAAGGAAACAAGGATGTGGAAATACTTTACGAAAAATAGGACGAAAGTTTGGGTGGACATCTTACCTGCTCTCGTTAGATCCTATAATAATTCCACACACAGAACAATAGGAATGAGACCGGCGGATGTGAATGAGGAAAATAAGGACGAAGTTTGGACAAGAATCTACGGATATCCACTAAGCAGTTTTCCAATTCCGGATCCTAAATTTAAGGTTGGGGATCATGTCAGGGTGGAAACCTCCAGTTTCCGTAAAGAGAACAGTAACGACAGGTACGCATGGAGAAAAGAGCAAACATACGAACTGGGATTACAAGGGGTGTTCAACAACATAAAGTCAGAATATGTCAAAAGACTACGGGGGTCCAGTTACCGTATAAATCGGACGATGGACCATTTTCTAGGAATCTTATCTCCCGTCTGGACATCACTAAAAATAAGCTGACATTCAACAGAGCTGAAATCGCATACATTCATAAGGATGATATGTATAAATTTTCCGACAACAAAAGAAATAGCAAATACGTAGCAGCATACGAGGAGTTATATGAAAAAGCACTCATAAAGCGTAGGGCCCGCAGGCAGAGGGCTAGAAGCGTAATCGAAGAGGAAACCGAAGGAGAAGCATCAGAAGAAACCACAGAAGACATCCACAAGGATGTTAGGGAAGAGCTACACCAGGAAACCACCACTGCGAGTGAAACCCTTGCAGAAGAAGCGGAAAGGTTGGAAAGGGAAGGTATAATAACCACACAGGAGAGAAGGGAATTTGCAGGAGTAACCGCTCGCAAGGGACCCCCAGAAGTTAGTATTAAATCCCTAAAAACGCTATTGCCATTTCTATCGCTGGAATTATCACTACAGTCGTAGTGGCAGGAAAGAAAACCATCGTAGGAGCCTCCAAAGGATTAGGAGCCGTAGGAAAAGCATTGGCTGGACTTGCAAACTCCGCACTACCAATCCTAGTACCTATCCTAAATTTACTAAGTTCTATCCTAAGCTGGGGAGCTAAAGGTCTCGCCTTCCTTGCCCAGAACCTATAGATCGTAGCAATCCTAATTGCTGGGGCTATATACAAATACCTACAAAGTAAACGAAAGAAATAAAGTTATACTATAATAAAACATAATGGATCGAACAACTGAACTTATGACTAACTTCCGACGCATGAACAGGACGGAAATCACTGGGGATAGGACCAGACATGTTTTAACCGTTAAATCCAAATTCTGCAAAACCTGGAGAAGAAATTTACGTTAATATCCCAAAGCTAAAAGCCGACTCTGTTCTTGTGCCGGACAGTATGGCTTTAGTTTTCGACTTTAAGAACAGTAATACAAAATCCTGGTTTAGGAACAACCTAGGGATACTGCTTCAAGAGGTTGGAAATCCGACTTGCAGGAGAAAAGGTCTACGACAACAGCGGGGAAAGCTTACTGGAAGTGTACAAGGACCTATGGCTACACAACAAGCAGCGTGATGTTATGGTAGAGGATGGTATCGCTAGCGAAGCCATGAGGAAGAAAATCTCCAAGGACGATGCCGCAAACGATGATGCAGAGGCTACCGCATTGTTCGGTATATTCGGAACAAAACAGAAAATCCGGATCACCAAAATCCTCAAAGATCATGGACTTTATGCCCCACACAACATGGTGAACGACCTACAATACGTGATCACCCTACCCACAGCGGCCGAAATCATGAACGCTCAAGGTGGAGAATCTGTGGAAGGATACACCCTGGAGAACATCGAACTGGAATACGAGTCCATCGACAACATCGATCTCGCAAGAAAAGCCGAGGGTCTGTACGGATCTGCACGTGAGTTATCCTTCGAACATGCTACCCTAATGAAGAAAACGGAATGGAGCAAAGATTCCACCATTATCAACGAAACGATCAACGTACCACGCAGGAGTATGAAAGCCATTGTCATACTATTCACAAACAAGACGAAGACAGACAGCGAGGAATATATCTACCCTAACATTGAAAAGGTCAGAGCAACCATAGAAGGTGTTCCTAATGCTGTCTATAGCCAGGGTATCCCAAAAACAAGATTATACGAGGAGGCAAGGCGACTGTTCGGTACCGATGAAATCAGTCACCAGACACTAACCGGATTCTTCAAAGACAAAATGTTCGCCCTGGTCATCGATCTCAGGACCGTAAACGAAGCCAACACATACGGAAACGGTGCTAAAATCCAGAACACCCAATCTGGAATACTGGTGGAAATCACAAAGAAAGCCACAACTGCAGACGTTGTATGTTACTTGTTCGTCCTTTCCGACGGTGTTATCAAGATCACAAACGGACAACTTGCTGGAATAAAGTACTAAATTATTCGAAAACTACAGTTTTTCCATACTCAACAGAGTTTGGAAAATTTTTATGCTTGATCATCAGTCTCCGGTCCTTCCTCCTCAGAAGGTGGTTGTTCAGGTGCTCTCCGATAGACATGTTTCACCGTCGTCACTCCACAGCTAACAATACCCAGGTAGGGTATGTATGGGGACAACTTTGGACAACTCTTAAACAGTTGCACGTTTATCCTGATTCAACTCCTCTCTTAATTCATTCCCACTATCCACCATACTGATAGCTTCCATAAGATCCGAAAATTTTTCAATCAAAGCCTCTGCCAGCACCACATTTGCCTTTTCCCTCTGTGCAACGATATACACTCTTCCCTTTGGGTCTCTCTGCGTCACAGATCATCACAATTTCATTTATAACCTCAAACGCTCTGCTCCCAAATAGGTCGTCGGATGTCACTCCCTTCCTTATAATAAAACCAACAACTTTGGAATAGGTGGTAGCTTCCTTATACGGACGCTTCATAATTGCCCTGTCCCAACAACCGTAATCAGAAACATAATAAGTCGGACCAGATACCAACCCACACTCGCCGCATGTCCTTTCCCCATTTATATAAATAAACTGATGCTTACGACCTTCGGAACAAAAATGTTTGTTTGGAAATTTTACAGGCTCCGGCTCCTTCGGACCAAGAGAATCCAAGTACTCCTTTTCCGCTATTTCAAAAAGCTCCATGCTTTTACTCTTCTCCTTCCTCTTCGGTTGCCAGGGCGGATACAGCTTTTCATTGTATTTCTTAAGCGGTGTTGATGTGCGATACACATTTCTTTACACCGGTGTTGATGTGCGATAACATATAGTAAAGTGTCTGTCAAACCCATCTGTACTGCAAAAGGATAACAAACATCGATCACAAAATATCCTGGACTTTTCGTTCTTACTAATCTGACTCGACCACAAGCGACTAGTGTTCTTCACAACATAGTACCTGTTCTCATGAAAAAACAGCGTAACAACCCTCCAGTACTTCCATCTTGCCACCTTCAATGCGATAATCTTATCACTCGATAAACCAATCAAATTAATCCCGATGCTGTTTAAAGAGCTTACAGTTAAATCGCGCAATCACGCAACCTGCAGAGCAGATAACAGAGTTATCCGCAATCACGCAATCTGCTAGCAGATAACAGAGTTATCCGCAAATGAGCCTGCGATGATTAGCAAGCGGTATCTATTTAACACAAACAAATGTATAATAAAACAATAATTGAATTCGGTTTTTGCGATATGCAAAATTATCAAGGTCTCGGTATAATTCCGCATATCACAAAAACTCTCTCCTCCGCAGAGGCGATTGGGATAGGCTTAAGCCGGTTTTCCACTAGGCGGAATTTTGCGCGCGGAGCGGAATTTCCCTTTGTCTTTTCTAATTAGTTCCACCCGAGAAATCGCAAGAAAAATTCCGCTCCGCGCGCAAAATTCCGCCTAGTGGAAAACCGGCTTAACATGAATCTTACATGAACTTGGGGAGAGGAACAAAACCTTCATGTACACGCGTAAAAACGCTCAGGTTGTTGCAATACTGATGAAAACAGGATTGAACAATGTTTTGCTGCCCACATTGTTCATAGCTGTCAACAATATTGAACAATATTGTTACACCCGATTCAGGCTCAACAACATTGTTCAATATTGTTGACAAGTGTGAACAACGTGGGCAGCAAAACATTGTTCAGTCCTGTTGAGCAGCGGGCTCGGCGTTTTTTGCCGTGTAAGCGCGCCTCTCCCCAATCGAAACTTCATGTAAGATTCATGTAAGCCTAATAAGTTCTTTGTAAGCCTATTCCAATCGCCTCTGCGGAGGAGAGCTGGAATCACAAAAACCTCATCCAAAAATTGTTAAATATATAACTGCATGATCTCGTAAATGTCTCAATATTTCAAATCACGAAAACGACGCTCTATAGAGTGTAGGCAAGGCTACTCAACCTTCCGGAAGGAAGTACCTGCATGAATATGTTCCGTGCATTCTCAAGCGAAGCTGGTAAAATACCATGCATGCTTTATGGTTACACCTTATAGCCATTTCTTGCAGGTTCTCCATGGTTTTAAAAGGGATATGACAATAAACATTTTGACCAAAGTCACTATTAATTGATAGTAGTCCGCCGCATCTTAGATTATTGTGGATACGCATCAGAGGATAGGGCCACGCAAATAGTTTACCTTACACAAACATGTTGTGATCATTATGACTCCAGAATTATAATTCGATCAAACAACAACACTTTAATCATCTATACTAACTGTTATTGTTGCCATCTAATGGCGAAAATTACGATCATATACCACTTATAAAGAATATGAAAACGGTGTTACATCAGCCCTCATGCATGGTTATATACTTATATATATTAAAATCAAGTTGTTTTAAGCTTACATCGATCTAAATTTCATGCCCTCATGCATGGTTATATACTTATATATATTAAAATCAAGTTGTTTTAAGCTTACATCTATCTAAATTTCATGGTAACGAAATTCTTCCAGAGGCAAAGGCAGCGGATGGGAGAAGGGCTACAGTTCCCACAGAAGCAGCAGTCGACGGGACTGGCTCTTCCAAAAGCATCTAATATAACGTTGTCAGATTCTTCGCTGCCTAAGACAGAACGACCTGGGTTCTGCATGTCAAAACGTCCCCTAGAACCTAGAACGCATGAAATGTCATTTATATAATAACTACAGTGAAACACGCAATTTGATTGGTCAACAGCCGTGCAGGATCAGACAATCCTGCACGGGAAATTCTGAACAGAAATTCTTGCACATGATTTTACAAATATACTCGCATTGTAAAGTACGCATGAAATGTCATTTATACAATAACTACAGTGAAACACGCAATTTGATTGGTCAACAGCCGTGCAGGATCAGACAATCCTGCACGGGAAATTCTGAACAGAAATTCTTGCACATGATTTTACAAATATACTCGCATTGTAAAGTTTCATTGTACGATACCTTTCGACTTTGAAGTAAGTTTCCAATTATTGAGACGTTGGTTTAGTTGTATGAATAAATTTCTGATCGATACGTTGCTATTCAGCAAGTAGCAACGCGTAAGCGTTGAAATTCATCAGACCATGGCATCCAAGTACAACATCTCTCGCTTCAAAGTTGATCAAACGCTCTTCACATATTCTCTTCACATATTCAGCTCGAGAATCTTCAAAATTACTTTGGCTCTCTGTTTAGCGGGTTTTCCATTTCAAATTTCGTATATTTTATAGAAAAAGACTCTGTATTTTCCCTGTATATTTTCGCGAATTTGCGATCAAATTCTGTTCACATATGTTGTTGTTTTCAATAGCATGGAGTAGCGATTCTCTGATTGGTTAATTCACGAATGTTGTGAGAACTGCACATTTCATCAGTAATTTTAATCATGTTAAGCGTCGTTTCACTGTAGTAATTTTATAAAACAATTACCAAATGGTTTTCCCGTGCAGGATAGCATCATCCATTTGGGATGTTGCTCGACTTTCGGAAAGCGTAAAAATACACTCGCCTACGGCTCGTGTATTTTTACGCTTTCCGAAAGTCTCGCAACATCCCTCGTGCATGGATCACGCAATCCTGCACGGAAAACCATTCGGTATTTCTTTATTCAGTGACTAGTGTTACGCTACCCCCAAAACTAACTATAGTCTTCCGCCGCCAATGGTCATAGAGTTTACCTGTGTATTCATTTCATACCAGTACTCACGAAACCATGCTCTACATTATTAATTGTGGCAAGTGGAAACTCGGATTTACACACAAATTTATAAGGTATAATTATATAAATAGCCATCAAAACCATTCACCACCACTTTACCACCTTGTCTCGGAAATTCAATAAAAAATCATTTTAGGTAGTTAAAAACTGTGTAATCACGCGGATATACTTAGTTTAGGGTAATGAATGTGTATAACATGCATGTCTTAAGATTCTTACATACTATACAGTAAGATTGGTTTTGTTAAAAAGGTATTTATTGGTGTAAATTATCATTGTATATTCTACGTTATTACCAATTTCATTACGATAAAAATACGTTAGGAGATTTCAGAGTGTTATCTGACTCTATAATAAATATGACAAAATTTATAAAAACGTGATCATAAAACGTACAGACTGTGTGACTTGAGTGAAGTCATTTTCTGACTCCTTATTATTACTGTACAAATAAACAATTTATTTTAAGGCTAATCTACATTATTGTTACGCGGTTTTGGCAAAGTTCTGGGAGGTTTTTTAATACGTGGTGCTACAGGAGGACTGTATTTCTGAGTATTTTCATTGAGACCTGGTGACGAAGACCTTAATGAAGGTAATGTTGCCGACTGTCTTGACGACACTGGATCATCCTTTTTGGATGCTTTGGGAGGGAGAGTTGGTGGTACAACAAACGAGGTATTTCGTGATTCCTCAAAATTTGACACGACAGTCGCAACATTTCCATGTGCTGCGGCCGGTAACCGTCTCGGTACATGGTGTTCATACAGAGTTGATGCACCGTTTGCCTGATCTTGCAATTCAGCGGAGTAGTCTTTAAGGATAGGAGCGTTGTATGCATTATCTTGTGAATATAAACGTACAGTAGTTCCATTTGTGTTAGCGTGCGATGAATTACGTAAGATAACAGTATCATACGCACTATTTGAGTCTGGGTGTTTTACCTCCAAGCCTATGTTTGCATTGTTTGGTGAATTGCGGCCTGCGTAATTTGTTTTCATCGATGTAGTAACCAATGTGTTACTGTTATTAACATCTCCATGGTTATTACGACTTGGTGAAACTAAAACATCATACGGATCTTCTTCATAGGCACCAGACCTGGGGTGAACAGGACTTTGCAGCTGTTGTGATGGAGGCATTTCGCCATCCAAGTTAGCATAACGATGTTTTAAGTTTCCCTCAAGTTTTTGTCCATTCTGAGAATGACCCGACACCGCGCTTTGTGTGACTAGGACAGTATTATAAGTATTTGATCGTGAATTAGCAAATGGTTTAAGTCGATGAGCAAGATTGGCAGGTACAACTATAGTATCATAAACATCCTCAGAACGTCTTTTTCGAGGAAATAACGGAGGAGGAAGTTCATCATCAGGAATGTTCAAATTATCATTACCGTCTTGACTCATTACTTTCTTCTCATCCGACGATTTACCTGCAGACAGGGTTTCCTCGCTGTGCGTATTTTGTCCTTCATGTTCTTTTTGGATAGGAGACCCATCTCCAATTTTATCCAGATCATCCATTGATCTTGATTGCAGTTTTGAAAAACTTGTTGATACACGATAAGAACCACTGGATGATAACTCGAAAATATTTGATTGTCTTTTCTTTGGCGTTATCAACGGAGATGATCGCTTCTTTGGTGGAATCATAGGCGATACGTTGTTAGCCAATGCAGGTTTGCCCTAAAACGCAACAAAAACATTGTTTCAGGACTTTGACTTAGTTGCACAAAATCAAAGCTCTATATAATACTGCGAACATTTATAAAACTCCTGCTAGTCCCGGGTCCCCTTCTCTCTCTTTTTCTTCTCTTTTTTGTATTGGTTTCACATTATCCTTTATGACGATCGATCGTGAATCGGAAGCTCTTTGATTCATACCTTAGCCTCTGGTGAAGGAGTACGAGCAAGTGCAGGTCGATCAATCTTGAGTGTTGGAGCAGCGACAACTTCTAACGCACGTGTTAGTTCATCCAACTCATCAATTTCATTTAGGGATGTCGCACTTACAGACGAACCAATCGATACCCTAGCTGGTGATGCAGGACATCCATTGTCTTCATTCCATTGTTTACCAGTTCGCAATTTCTGCGGCAACTTTGGCCTAAACAAAGAGTAATTTTTTTTTTATTTTCCTGGTTAGTTTGGTTAGTACACGATTCCTGTAGTGCTGAGTTGTTTGAAATAATTATTTCGCCACAGTCGCACCGTACGTCTGGCACGTACTTATAAGATTGCATTCAACTTGACTATGCAATATAAAGCGAACTTTTATCTGGGCCAATAAGAGTGGGGGCTTTATTGGGTACTTCTAGAGTAAATAGTAAATTAAGAATTATATCGAATTAACATGATTTACTGTAGTCACTATACCTGGTTTCATCCTGCATGGCACGAAGATCCGGTACTGATACAGATTGGCTTACTCCATCTAACTCAGATATTGACAAAAGACTTGAACTTGTTTTTAGCGCAACTTCAGACAACGTCGACTGCCTATTACCATCTATTTCTGGGTTGAAACCTGAAGGTATTGGCTTGCGGGTTGGAAATAGTCTCGATTGCAAATTTAGCGAAAGCTAATAATACAAATTACCAAAAATTAGTACGTATGTATGTTAAATTATTATAATAGTAATACAATAACATAAAAAATAAAATATAAAATATGTAAAAAAATAATAGTATGTAAAATTATTATAATAGTAATACAGTTGATGTTCTTGGGCATAAATATGTTATTGCCCCTCCTCTGAACTCATTTTAACGCTCGCTACCCTCAGACTAAAATGAGTCTGCATGAGTCGGACGAAAAACATATTTATGCCCGCGAACATCAACTCTATTGTTATATTATTATGAGGACATGTTATTATAAATGAACGAGTATATATATTATTTTTCCTCTGACACTATAGACCGAATCGAAAAATTGTTTTCTTTTTTCTCCCGAAATTAATTCCAAACAAGATAATCACTGCCTCCTTATAGAATATACTTTAATACAATGTGTTCGAGAAATGTGAAATATACCAGAGAGAAAAAATGTTTGTTAGCTCGGCAATGCACAAAATATAAAATAGTGCAAAATTGTTGTAGCTAGTTTTCGAATCGGTTAATGATACAAATATAGTTTTCAGCTATACAATTTTACTGTAATCTATATTTTATTCCTCAATTTAAAAAACCATACATGCATGCTTGTGAAAAATAACTTTCTTTCAACTGGAACAGTGATACAAGGTGATACAAATTTACTGCAACTTATATTGCATTCATTTTCTTTAAAAACCATTCTGTAATGATAACTTTTCAAGTTACATTTTTCATTGACACAACGAATTGATACTATATATATAAAACATCTTTGTAATAATAATGTCAAGCATTTAGTTTACCTCATATCGTCCAGTCAGTGAAACATATATCTTAGCAATCTTATCCATTCTTTTTATAATAACAAGTCCTTATATAAGAATTATACCATGGTTGTTATAAGACCTGCATGGTTAGGAAACCCGGCAAACATGGAGGTTGAACAGTCAGTTTGACCCTGCACATATTGGTTTTAATCAATGAGAATTGACCAAACGATGTAAGTATGTAACACATACATTCTCCATCGAAAAATGGTGGTAATACTTCGTTATTTGCAAAATATGTCGTAAGATATAGCCCTGGTAGGCAAAACAAATACTTGGAACCCATTCCCTTCGCCAAGCTTTCTGAACTGACTATTGTCAAACAATAGAAAGACAAAGGATTTTTCAACCGTGACCCTGCACAAGGTACACAATCACCTAAAACAAAGGGTTTCCAAACCATGTCATATATATTACCAACCTCGCAAGCCAGGCTCTTTAAGTAGAAGTAGAGAGCCTGGCTTGCGAGGTTGGAATTATACGTAACTGATATCATTTCGTATCATCATATCATGATTACAAGATAGAAAAATAAACGGGTATTCTTGAATCGCTTCGCAAACTATAGAATTTCCCGACATAATATACCTTCCTTAACGTTCCTGTATCCGAAGAATCCGCTGAAATCCGCTTATCTAAGGATGTGGTACTCTCACTGAAATGTCAAATTTACAATATGATATCCAATTAAAAAAAAAATTAAAAAATATTGCTTTCCTCGTGATTTTGATCATGACGTTGAAGAGCTTTCATACCTTGGTGATGAATTGAGTGGCAGACTCCATTTTCTTTGAATTAACACATGCTAATAAAAATTAATATGCAATAAATACAATGCAATATCATACCAAGTCAAACCATACCATATGATATAACATACCATGCCATTTACCCTACCATATCTAACCATACCATGACATATTATATAATATACACTTAATGTCTGCTCCCGAGGGAAATAGTTAGTTTTGTTTTCCCGAGAGTCTCAATGTTTCCCGAGACGAAGTCGAGGGAAACATTGAGATTCGAGGGAAAACAAAACTAACTATTTCCCGAGGGAACAGACATTAAGTGTTTTGTTATATAGCGACGAACAAAAATCAACTTCAACAACATTCATATACAACAATTGTTTTTCGCGGCAAAAACTCTATAGAGTAAACGAGTTTAAAATTAAAGAACCTACTTAAACGGTTTCGGCAGCATATCCTGTTTCCTGTTCTGTATTTTTCTTCCCTTTTACATTCTTTATTTGAACACAAACTTGGAAAATCGTAGTTTCTAATTATCGTAGTTGTGCCGCCATTTTGTTTATTTATGTACGTGGCCGGTCGGGGCGGGCAACAATTTTTCACTTGTTTCCCGGCGAGAAACATTGCATTTATCTGAAGTCACGTGACCACAAATCAGCCAATCACATTTGGTGTTTACGCTAGCTATATAACAACACCCATTAAATTCTGGTCATTTAATTGGCTGACTATGATCACGTGATATGGAATAAAAATTACCATTTTGCTAAGCGTGCAATGGAACGCGTTCCATTGCACGCCCAACCGTGCACTGGAACAAAACGTAGAGTAGACCAATTTCGTAGAGTACAACAAAGTACAACAATAATGGTTTAGTTTCCAGTAAATTCCATACGTCAAAATCTTAGCCATTGAACTGAATAGAACTGGAACGCTACCTCCAACCGGAAATTTGAAGCCAAATTTGACCAGTCCCAGTTTTTTCACGCATGCGAAGAGTGCCCAATCAGTCAATCATGCCATAAACACGTGTGATCTTACCTCCAGACACGCAAGTGATACACTAAAAATATTATTTTTTACGATAATGTTGGGTTAAATAAATGTCATCACATTAACTCTTCACTCAAACATTTCTGGAACATATATTTGTTGGATTTCTATTACTTTTAAACATTGTAGCTACATGCAACTGAAGTATGCATTAGTTTCATATTTAATTCCGACAATAAAACATCTATAACATTGATCTATTTTGGTGTCACACAAAACAAATAATGAATGTTTCATTCGTGCAATAGTAAAAATATTTTCATTCGCTGAAAGATGGAATTTTCCATTCCACTCGGCTGTCACCTCGTGATTGGAAAATTCCATCTTTCACCTCATGAAAATATTTTTACCATTTTACTCATAAATATTCATTGTTTGTATACCATGATACTGCACGTGTACAATGCAATGCAATGAACCTTTCACCTTTTGACTAAAATTTAGATCTCAACAAGTCTAGACAAAAATTTCATCACAACTTGAAAGAGCATCACAAAATTAGTAATATTCCAAAGTTTCGTTGCGAAATGTTGTAAAATGCGGATAATATAGCTTTGCGAAGTTTGCAATTTCAGTCATGTTGTATTACGCGCGGGAAATACATACCCGGCCTTCGGAAAAAGGGTATGTATTTCCCGCCCGTAATACAATATGACTGAAAATTGCAAACTTCGCAAGGCTATAATATATTATCCGCATTTTACAACATTTCGCAACGAAACTTTGGAACATTACTAATTTTGCGATGCTCTTTCAAGTTGTGATGAAATTTTTGTCTAGACTTGTTGAGATCTAAATTTTAGTCAAAAGGTGAAAGGTCCATTCAATTAATGCTTGGCAAAATAATAAGCTTACCGCACGAGTATCCCCAGGTAAATCGTCCAGCATCTTGTTGTACTGATATAGCATTCTTTCGTGGAGCGGCCTTAGATCCGGTGAAATTCTCGATTCATGAAGAATCAGGCCACGTCGAAGCACACCAGCCTAGCACATAGATACATTTAACAATCTGATCAATGCATCTATCAATCAATGTTTAGTTAAGCCACAGGGAGGGCGCGGGGGATGTCAGGCATATTAGTTGTCGGCCCTTCACTATCGGAAATCTGGTGTTCTTTTCTTTCCAATGGGGGATATTTTAACCGAGCGCCATCTTGAATCCTGTAATATGTTGTTCAAATACTCCACACCTGTTTAGATAGCTTGTTACGTATTTGACATATATTTTGTGCCTAACATGCAGTGGGTCATTTTATCATGCACATTTGACTGACATCTGCTGCCGAATGATACCGTAGGGACAGGACTAATATTGACAGGTGCATAATAAATTTGACAAAACACTACGACTACGTGTAGCGCTTTTTATTCTTATTTCATTAGGTTTAGTAAAGTTCGTTAACAATTATTCCCCGAAGTGGAGGTCAATAGTACAATATCCTTGGACTATATTCACCGAAAATGAGGTGAATAATTTCCATAGCATGCATATACCCTAACAAAACCGACCACTACAGTTCCCATAATAGTTGTAATCAAAACAGTATTTATTTAAAGCTTTTAGTTATTTTATTCATTAATAGAAATAGCTTTAAAGAATACCTTTAGACATTGTTAAATAAAAAACCGCGGCTTTGTTTAATACAAAAAGTTGCTCGTCTGTATAACCGGAACGAAACGGGGAGCCATTTTGTTTTTGTCTGAAGGTGAATAGTGCAAGGATATCCGAAGCTGAGCAACCAATCAAATTGCACGAAAAGCATTATCCACCTTCCGAGTACACGCTAATTAACAATTATTCGCCGAAGGCGAGGTGATTTTAATATCGAGACGAAGTCGAGGTTTTTATTCACGATAATCACCGCGAGCCTGAGGTGAATAATTCTTTTAGTATAATTTCATGGGTGATTATTTGGAAAAAAATTTAAAAATGCACATTTCTTCGTCTTTTAATTGACAAAACGGCTTCGGCCGCCATTTTGAAAATCGCTTAGGTGATTATCGCGTACTAATCACCTCAACGGTAACCAATCAGCGTGGAGAATTTTCAATAATCACCTATGTAATTATACTAATACATAATATTCAGATTTATCATTTACCTGTTCAAGTAACACTCTTTCCAAATGACCGACTTTGGTTTTACGTAGAGGATTTGTTCTAGCATTTTCTGGTGTGAAAAACGCCTAAAAAGATTAATTTGTTCAGTATAATAACCTTCTACTACATAGGCTTTATAAAAAAGTATACACAATTCTAAAATGTCCACTAAATTGAAATTTCCAAACCTTTTTTGTTAATTTAAAATTTGTGTAAATACTGTGTGCGTTGTGAAAGGTCTTCTGATCTCTTCAACACTAATTTTTGTTTTTAAAATTAGACTTGCAAGTGCAAAAAGACTGCTACAAATTAATCGACAACATTAAAAGTGACTTGCGCAAATATATGTAATGGAAAACGCGACTATTAAAATACGAAACAATTCAATGTACATTAATTACCCCCCAACCGCTAAATTATTACCAAGCTATAAAGCAGGATTGGCAAATCAGAAAATATGTCATTCAAGTGTTCAGAAGACTAATAAAACATCATTATATTAATTCAGATATTGAAATAACAGCTGCAACAGCTTTAGATTTCCACCTAACACAACTTGTGACTTTCCGTGTTGTTTTGATATGATGGTCTCCACTATATTAACCATGCAATTAATATTTATAAACATATCTTAGGCCTACCTTTTTGTAGTTCAAAATTCCTCCATTAACTGCGGCATCTATAACACCATTAAGTTGCATGCTTAATGGATTAATATTCTTCCTATCGTCCTCTTGAAGCTCTTCAATATTACGTTGTAGTTCATGAGTTTTTGACGTTACTGTGTTTATTGCATTTTCAATTGGACTAAGTTCTTTCTATAGATGGAAAAACATTAGTAATTTTTAAATTAAAATATCCACTTTTATAGCACTTATATTCTGGCACCTATTTCAACTATTTTCAACTGTACTAGGTCTGGTACCAGCAGTATTATATACAACTCCTGGTCAGAGGTATTGACACACTTTACATCAACAGTTTTTAAACACGGCATTTAGTACAGAAATGCACAAATCATGGTCACTCATGCAGGAGGTCTGCATGGTATCACTTCTGGTGTTATCCAACCGCAAAATAATATAAAAAACACGTACACGTTCAGATGAAATAACAGGAAACCACGGAAGGATGCCAGGAAGACGAATTTCGATTGTTAACGTTGTAACCTCACACCATAAGATCTAAAATGAAAAGAGTAAACCAATTACCAAATCTATTTGGTATATACGTTGAGTAAAGTTCACATAGTCATGTTGTAGATCCATTGAAAATGAGTTCATTCTTAAGAGGGCAACTGCAAATTAACATTGAACACCAGGCCACTTCCTTTCATTACATGCAATTTTTTGCAATGTGGCAACTGATTTCAGTAAACTAATTTTACTATAAAGACACTATATATCTTTTTCTTCCTCGTAATAAGCAGAAGTTTATGAACCAAACAATTTCAAAACTGATATCAAAATTTTGCTAGGTGCATATATACTGTATATATATATATATATATATATATATATATATATATATATATATATATATATATATATTATATATATATATATATATATATATATATATTATATATATATATATATATATATATATATATATATATATATATATATATATATATATATATATATATATATATATATATATATATATATATATATATATATATATGAGCATGAGG